TGTATATTGGCTTCTTTCAATTATATCTCAAGCTTTATTTGGATTCTGTGCGCGAAGATAAAAAAAACTCTGTAATGAATTTATTGAACGAATTTATTGGCAAAATTTCCGAGAGAAGAGAACATTTCGTGTAATGATTCATTAGAAATAAGCTATGCATTATGAATGCATAATGATAGCGTGAATCTGTGAAAAGTAGACATTATAAGTTTCTCTGTATTCTGGTTGTAGCGACTAAAGCAATCATGCCAGTGCCTCAACTCCAGAAACCGGCGCCCGCTTTCACCGGCACTGCTGTTGTGAATGGACAATTCAAGGATATCAAGCTCTCTGATTACAAGGGCAAATATGTTGTGCTTTTCTTCTACCCGTTGGATTTGTAAGCATTACGATCATATTTTCATGGGCAGGATATAACGAGACAGTTATACAATTCTCAATTGCTGTTACAAGAAGTGTTGTATAATTGCTTAACATTTGCATACACTTGGCTCTTAATTGATTCATTTGAAACGATAACAAAAAGATACATGTTCTATTCTGAGAGATTATGGAAAAAAGGTCTTTTATGTTTTAAAATCACTGCTAGTTACATCAAGTTTAAAACGAGTTGTGTTACGTATATATTTCAATTATAATGAATAATTCCTAGATTTAACGAAAAAGTATTTAACGTTCGAGAGATTTGTAGGAAAATTTAAAAAAAAATTATATATCTTTAAGATATATCTTTATCTTTAAGATTTCGGATGAATAGGAAATAGAGGCAGTTTAGATAGATTATGATTGCATAAATATTTTGCCACAGCACTTTTGTGTGCCCGACGGAAATCATCGCTTTCTCCGACCGAGCGAAGGAGTTCACCGAAATCGACTGTCAAGTGATTGCTGCATCTACCGATTCCCACTTCAGCCATCTCGCGTGGATAAATACACCGCGCAAACAGGGTGGTCTTGGCGAGATGAACATTCCTCTGTTGGCAGATAAGAGCTGCAAAATCGCCCGTGACTATGGTATCCTCGACGAGGAGTCAGGAGTTCCCTTCCGTGGACTTTTCATCATCGACGACAAGCAGACTTTGCGCCAGGTCACCATCAACGACTTACCCGTAGGAAGGTGAGACACTTGCATGATTATTAAAACTGCAGTAAATTTATAAAAATTTGTTTTCCATCTCGCAATATAAGCTTTCAGAACATATCATTCAAGCATAGCATTGATCGTTATAATACAATTTTATCGCTAATAATGATTTTATGTTGCATATTTTTAGATCCGTGGACGAAACTCTACGTCTAGTTCAAGCATTCCAGTATACCGATAAGCACGGCGAGGTTTGTCCAGCCGGTTGGAAACCTGGCAAGAAGGCTATGAAACCTGATGTCGTTGGCTCGCTGGAGTATTTCAAGGAACAATAGACAATAAAAATCGTACAATATTTTTTCATATTTACTGTTAATTATACTCGTGTGTATATGTGTTTTATACTCTTTCGCTGCTGTTCGAGTTAAACACATTCACTTCTGTTTCTATTTAGAATAGTCAGATATACATCTCGCGACATTCACATTGAAACATCCGTCTTTAATTTAATAAACGGATTTATTTTCTATATGTTCTTGGAGAGTGTTTTATCATTTCACGTAGTAGATGAATTAGAAATTACTTCATATCAATATTACGTGCCAGACGAGCGACAAAGATTAGTTATGATAACGAGTATCAATGTGATTAACAAATATTGAATCGGCGAAACAAAAATTTTGATAAGGAAAAGATTTGAATAATTACATTAAAATGCAAAGTTCAAGTCATCGAAAATTCCTTATTTTTAACATGTTTGGTAATGATAACTCAATTTTTTTTTTATTGATCTCGTATTATAATTATAATAATTAAGACATATATAGGCGATAATTATCGCGTACGAAAACATTCCAGTATCATTTTACTCTTGTTTAACATTCGGAGGCATTCGAATAGTGTTTTCGAACACAACCTAAATATAAAAATCTGCAAAAGTCGAACCGATAAATTGTGGACAACTTCATTTTATGTTTGACATTTGATTTAATAACCTATTTTTCGACAAATTTTTTACTCTATTGTGATAAGATAGGCACTATATCTTCATGAGTGATTGCGAAACTGCAATAACTGAAACAGGTAAGGAGCCAAAAATTCGATTTATATTCTTTTGAATAAATCGCTTATTTTATCAGTTACAAGACCTGTCTAACGAGATATGTTACGTGACTTTGACATTACGCAATGTCTAATTTGCATTTGTGAAATATGTTTTGCTAATTAGAAAAATATCTAAAAGTACACTTTTTCAATTTGTAAATTTAAGGATGGGGTATCTGGCATTACTTCATCGTTACTTTGTGCGGTTTATTGTCACTTGCGGAAGCAAACACTTCTCTGACTGTTCCCATTGTGGCATCGCTGATAGCGTGCGATTTAAAGCTCAACAGAGATCACGCCATAATACCCATCGCTCTTTCCAGTCTTGGTATACGATATAAAAAATTGCTGTTTTATGAATCTTATACTAAAAATTAGCTGAATTAACAATTTAATTTAAATTATTTTGTTGAATTAATTATCCAGTATGAAACGGGAAATATTAAAAAATATATCATTTACATTTCTCGTCTCTGTAAAATTTATCGTAAAGATTTTTAGTTATAAATATATTAATATATTGATTTGCTATATGTTTTTTTAAATATTGGGAATTTGTTATATGTTTTTTTAAATATCAGGAATGGCAGTAGGTGCTTTTCTGTTTGGAACTATATCAGACATTGCAGGCCGTAAAAAATTGATCCCGATTACTATGGGCATCGTGTTTTGCGCCTTAGCTTCTCTTTCCTTCGCTCAAGTCAATTTTTTGATAAATTTGTCAGTATTTATATTAGGAATGGGGTAAGTTCCTATCCTTTTATAATGAAAGCTATACAATTCAAGACATCTTACGATGACATTAAAACGATAAAAAAATGCATGATGAATTACGAGTTTGAAAAATATTTTTAGTCATTATTTACTTTTTATATTTTGATTCATATTTGCAAATCTTTATTTGTCTTCATTTATCATTGCTTATATAGTAACAAATGACAAAGTTTTTGCTTACATATTTGATATACAAAGAAACGAAAAATACTATGAAGACGAAATTCGACAAAATTATTTCGAAAAAACTGTTTGTCATACTATATTATGTCGATTATATTTTTGAATAAAATTTGATTAACGAGACACATTATGTGACTTTGACATTACACAATATTTAATGATTAATTTACATTTGTGAAATATGTTTTGCTAATTAAATAAATTGATAAAATATCTAAAAGTACACCTTTTCAATTTGCATATTTAATGAATGAGGTACCTAGCATCTTGGCTTCACTCGTGCGATTTACTATCGCTTGCGGAAACGTCACGATATTGATTGATGCATTTGTAATTGCATGATAATGAAAATGCGTGTTTATTAATGGAATGATTATGTCGTTGATATAGAATTTATGTTTATAGAGTAGCTGGAAATAATATCGTTCTGAGAATTTATCTTATCGAATGCTTACCAATGAAAAAGAGAGGGACTTGTTTAGCAGTAATCGACATGTTTTGGATAGTCGGCTATTTATCAGTCATAGGTAACCAAATGATTTTACAAATAATTTCTTATAATTTGCGTTAAATTTATTAAATATCACCTTTAATTATTAATTATGATTTTAATTCAATTTTTAATTTAATCTTTTATTAAATATTTTATATTTCTAATATTAACATTTCGGACGCGATAAAATATAATTTCAATATGTGTAAAAAAAACTCGATTACTGGATTACTAATTAACATACATAAATCTTTTTTATTTTTGCATCATTTATTTGTTTAAAAAATTACAACGACTTTTAAAGATAATCTTATTTTTGTATTTTTTTTTTTTAATTTAACATTAATGGGATAAGAAAATTAGAAGATTCAATTATAGACGAAAATTAAAAACGAATTAATCAGTCGATCTATGTATATGTATATATTTATTCTCATCTAACTAAATAATTTTAAACATTATAAAATACTTTACTGGAATTATGTTTCTGTCTCATCGGCAGTTTTATGTCGAAAAATCTTAGAGAGACTCCTTTGTTTGGAAAGGCATTTCCTGGTCCATGATGCCGTCCATCATACGTATGTTAGATAAGGAATTCCGACCAAGTTCCTGGCGAGTATTCGCCATTGTCTGCGGTATGCCGAGCCTAGTGATCGCCTGCATCTCAGGTCTCCTACCTCCGAGTCCTCGATATTTGTTACTTCGTCGACGACCGAGACAAGCTCTCGCGGTACTCCAACAGATGTACGCCATCAATAATTTGAAGCACACCGATACCTATCCGGTACGGCGTCTTGACGCGCTTTGTCGAAGAAATCTTATTATTTCCTAGTCGATTTCTTCATTTGCTATCGTTCAAGTCTTAAACGGAGGATTCTTTAAGCTTGGTTGTGGAAAGAAATAAAATAGGAGCATAGATAGTAAATATAGAACAATGTAGATTGCAGATAAAGATAAGAAATTAACATACACAATTAGAAAAAATTATATATTTTTTACAGTTAGGAAATATTTTAACCCTTGACCTGTTTGGATCTATTTAACTTAAAATTAATTTATTTTATTACTAATATTTTATTTAAAAATTTTTCCTTAGTGTTTAATGACTGTTAATATAAGATTTTTTCTGTAACACTTTATTTTTTAGAGCTTTTTATATTGACTCAAATAGTACGATCGTATAGTAAATTTTGTTTAACATGCTAACGTACGTATATAATTATTTGAAGTGAAGTCTGAGATGAATAATTATTTTCTAATAGATTTTATATTATATTTGTTAACTTTTATTTCTTCGGAATTGTTCTCTACAACTCAGATCAGGAATTTAGAAAGCTGCGTGCGTCCAGATGACGAGGATGAAACTGGCAGTATTCAAAGGTACTTTATGAAAATCTGGGAACGGATTCACAGAGTGTACAAGCCTCCGTACAAGCGTGTGACATTGTGCGGAATATTAGCGTGTTTTCTGCATTTTCCCGGGTAATAAAAGAGGTTTCTCTGTAAGCTATCTGTCTCTTGCACTTCGATTGCAAGAAGAATCACGATGTTTAAGATTCGTTTGGCTCGCTTTGTGGAACACGCACGTTCTCCAGGAAATGGAAGAGCGCTACGTCGTAAGCGGCACATGTAACGTCGACATCCAGAACATGGTATTGGATTTTTTGCGAAACTGTGATAAGGTGAACGACGCTCGTTTCGAACTGCTGTTGCTGGTATCACTAGGCTACGTGTTAGGAGAGACATTGCTCATCGTTGGAATCGATGTCGTTGGCAGACGGCCGTATTTAAGTAAGCATTTAAATGGTCGCCAAGAATCGCTATCACTATTAAGATCATCAATTAAAATGCATTATTTAATTGACTCAAAATTCTGCATTCTTTGCCCGAAACATCATTCTTTATTTTCTAATATTTACAGTTCTCAAATTATCAGTCGACTTAATCTTTTTTTTTTATAATTGCGAAGATATTATTTTAACTCTCCGGAGTTGATGACGAGTTCATTGAACTCAATCAATAGGATTAACAACATTATATTAGGTGTAGTAAAAAGAAATCCATCTATTAAAAATAATGGATTTCTTTTTACTACACCTAATATAAAATAATATTATAATACTTGTTACTAATTTTAAAAAGAAAATATGTTATCGTTATTTAGATTGTAACAAATTGTTACTTGTTCGTTTTTTTTTGTAATAATATTTCTATTCAATTCAAAATAATGCGATTTATTGAATATATATAATAGGAGATTAAAGTAATCATAAAAATGATGGTTGAATTTATCATAAATGGTAAAATATAATGACGCTATCATTACTGTTACAGATAAAAAAAAGTAACGATAACGATAACGATAATATCGCATTACAAATAATTTCAAGGAATTCCTAATCTTGTCAATCAATTATATTTAATCATACTTTATTACATTTGCAAATTTAATTTATTGTTATTAAAATAAATTTAATATTCATATACACATTTTTTTATGTATAAGTTATGTCATTTTGATTCCTAAAATTAATTAGTACCGAGGTCGGTATAAATTAATTGGGTCTCAGACCCAACATTAGTGACTGTTACAAATTTTGATGTCAGCTTCAGAGTGTTAATATATTTTGTGTATGTATAGGATGTCCCGAAATTCGCAAATTAAAATACTACAACAAGTAAATTCACGAAAAATTAAGTAAAAAAGTGTACATTTTTTTACGTGTACATTTTTATTTCAAGCAGTAATTTCCGAAATAAAAGATTTAAATATAACCAATTATAGATTACATTTGAACAGCCACCTGTTCATGAATCGCGCGTGTAATATATTAGTAATCGAGCACTTCAGCGTTTAAACGTAGTCTGTAATTTAAACTCTTTATTATTTCACAGACTATTGCTTAAAATAAAAATTTACAAATTTATTTAATTTTTACTTAATTTTTTTTTTTAAAACTTTCTTAGATTGTAGTATTCTGATTCACAAATTTCGAGACACTGTATAAAAGGATCTCTTCTTCTCTGATTGCTTTCAGTATTTTCGGGACTGGCGGGTGGCCTGGCCTCGCTCATGCTTATTTTTCGGTTGCACCACGCGATTCGTGTAACTCTGTCGTCGATTTTCCTGGCCGCTTACGCTATCGGACACACGACGACGTGCGTTTTGCTGCTGGAAAATTATCCCACCGCTCTGAGGTAGGTCGCGCAAAACGGAACGGCCGGCACGTTCAGCTAATCTTAGACCATCAGACGCGTTTTCTGGAATCAAATGTTTGCGAAGACGGCGATATAAAACTCGTAGTTTCTGGTACCAATTTCCAGAGGCACAATGATGGGTCTGATGAAGATACTTCCCTACTTGACGCTTTTCGCGTTGCAGCTCTTTATGAAGACGACCTGTCTTCTAAGTATAATCGTCGCGTCGGCCAGCCTAATAGGTGCAAAGAAGTGATCGTTTGTCATATTTTCTGTATTAAATATTAAATATCTCTTGCAGGTGCGGCAATCGCGATGCTATTAGTGCCCAATTTAACCAGATTACCGATGAAGGAATAATTCACACTTTCAGAAATGTAAAAAGAAGAATTCCTACGAACGAAGCGACTGTATTTTGTCTCGAATAAAATTTTATTTTGCGTGCCTTTCCTTTGCCAGTGTCTATTAGCATTGAATTTATTAAATTGCAATTATCTCCGAGTTAGAATTATCAATTCAACCCTCCGAAGCTGACGCTTAGAATCCACTCACACAATTATCAACTTCTTTTTTTAAATATTCAATAATTCAAATTTATGTGTTGCATGTCTACAAATCTAGATTATTCTTATTAAAATATAGTAATCGTTAGTAATTATTCAATCAAACCATTTTTCTCAATGTAATAATTACACTGAAAAAAATTTCTGGTTGAAAACGGACGAAGCAGAATTTTCCAATTAAATTTATTAGAATTCTAATTAAGATACCCAGAATTCTGAGTTGATATAATATTTCTAGGAAAATCTACTAGAACTCATATTTTTTTACCAGAATAATTATATCAATCAGAATTCTAGTTATTTCAATTAGAATTATATCAATTAGATTTAATCAGGAAATTCTGATTTATTCATTTTCCACCAGAATTACTGTTTAATCCAGACTATTTTTTTCAGTATATGTTACAAATTTTAGCGTCAGAGGATTATTATCTGGCTATTGGGTCTTGTTTTACATTTTCTTAATAGACCCACACAATTCTTAGCGATTGCGAGGTTCTTCGCAAGGTTCTCCATCGCTCGGCGAAAGTAGCACGTCGAGCTTTATGATCGGTAGCGTCATTCCGCGGCGCTTATAAATAAGGACCGCACGGTCGCGTCTTCCCGCCGCCTTCCCGTCTATTTTCGACGGGAACAGGAAGAACGCTCTCGCGAGCAGTCGCGCATGCCCGCGCCTCCCGGCGCGAGACTCTCGTCTCGGCGTCGCGATGCCTTTGTAACTCGTACGTGTACTCAATACACGCACACACGCATCCGCCGTAAATACATACGGCGAATGCTCGTCACCGAAAATAATTCGGCGCGCTATCGCCGAAGTCTCGAAACGCGCGGCGTCCGACGAGCTTCTCGCTCTCGCAGCGAAGAGGCGACCTCGCGAGGTCGCGCGAGCGAATTCTCGTCGCTTCGGAGGCCGTCGCGAGGGCAAGACGATCGAGAGTGCGCCGGGAACGTGAATCTGCGAATTTCAGTCGGTGATCGAACGAAAAAATAAAAAGCAAAGGAGGCCGTCGTTCTCACATGGATGTAATCGCAACCAATTAATCGAAGCTCCGTCGAGAGTCTTTCAATACCATTGGTGTACGTGGGTGGTAAAAAGTAGTAAAGATATTTTTAGTTTGAATTAATTGTATTTTGAAAAAAGAACTGTATGATGAAATAAACTTTTTAAAAATGAAATTAATTTTTAATTTTTAAAAATTAAAAACGAGGCAGACCGTCGAAGGATGTAACGTCACTCTCTTCTTTGTGTTCGGATAAAGACGTGGAGGAAATTCGGACGGAGTGTAACAAAGAAATCGTGCGCCGCGTAAAACAAAGGTATTTTTTTAATCAACATAAATAGACATGTTTAAACCAGCGATTTAAGATTAATGCAGCAAATGTTACATGCTATAATAAAATTTAATAAACTTTGGCATATTAAATTCTTGAATACGTCACTATAAAACATCAATCGGATAAAAAAGAAACCAATGAAGAAATTCGATGAAGCAATCATATAAAGACTAGACGGAAAGCGTAAATTGTGGTGGAGAGTCTCAGTGACACATAAATAAAGAAAGGAATTGATGTTTCTTCTTTGTACTTTTTGTGCTTTTCTAACTCTTATAGCAAAAAGAAAAAGCGCTTCGGAGAAGCGGCGTTAGTGCATTCGGACCCATTACCGCGCGTTCGCTTCCCATAATATTTATACGATCGGATGTTTACGGGAGGAATCAACACTTCGCTTGTACCATCAATTTATAGATCGCATTTCCGTCTGCCAGAGCGTACAGAAACAAATCTGACAACGAACATTTATTATAGTATCTACAAACATTTGGACGAAGGTATTCGGACCTCTTCGAGTAAATCAAAGTAAACGAAATATACCAGCAGCATAAAAGAATACATAATAAAATTCTTCTAATCAAAGAAGCTCGATACGTATAATGACAAAATAAAAAAACAATCTTTATAATCGAATAACAATTTAAAGAAATATTTCGTTACAGCTTATTTAATTTATTGAAACAACGAAATATAAAATAAAATTGTTTAACAGATTAAAATAAATATTTAAAGAATAAAAACATTTAGACCTGAAAAGATATTCAGTATGAGTATTAAAGTTATTTGAATTTTATGGGTTTATGGGGAATAACCGCATGACGCCACGTTACAGCACTGTTTCAATAAAACCACATAAAAGATGACAGCATCGTTAAATTCCCATAATTGTCATTCGTTAAATATTATCCATCGCATTCTGCGGAATATTTAGATCTTGCGTCTTCGCTCAGCAATCTATTCAATGGCAAAGGATAATGCCCGCTCGGCCGAGGAATTCGGTGCGTTCGAAGCCGAGAGGAAGTTCGACAGGTCGGGCCCGAGCCGCTCGCGAGATCAAAGAGGAGCTGCCAGGGTCAAGGACAAGCCCGAGGAGAGTCGACTTCCGACTCCACCTCCAGACCCTCAATGCCCGCCGGTTACCCTCATACGAGATCATCGCTCGGGGGTGACTTCTCGCGGGCTCGAGGAGGAAGAGGAGGATCTCGCGGTTTATCTCGGCGAGCTCGGCGCGTCGCCGTTTGAGGGTCATTCGTTCGATTACGATACCACGCCGAATTCGGCGACCTCGGCGATGGATGGCGACGCAACCCCTTTCACCGAGGAGGCGTTCGAACACCTGGACCGACTGTGCACGCTGACGGAGCAGATCCTGGAGCTGCGTACCCGCAGCTCCGAGTACTTCCGGCGCGTGCGAGGTCTGGAACGCGCGAAGGTACAACGAAATGCCAATCGACGGCTGGAGATCGCTCTGGCAAACGGTGAGGAGTTGCATCATGATTTCATCGATGAGGATACCGGCTTCGCGGAATCTCTGTTGGACGCGATGCTGTCGAATAGCCGAGACGCCGCGTCCTTGACGCCGAGGAGGAACGAACGCTCGAACGTGCGATCATCCGTTTCATCGAGACAACGAAGCCGATCGCTCGCGCTGACCGAGCAAAATCTCGGATCGCGCCTGGTCGAGCAGATAGGTGAGATCGACAAAAGTGCTGAGAGGAACGCAGGTCGCAACGGCGGTCCGAAGGTCAGCAAGTGGACCAGGGTGAAGGCGGCCTTCAAGTGGGAACGCGCGTGTACGAACGATCTCGCGGATATCGCAGAATTGGACACGCCAGCGACTACGTCGTCGACGCCGACAACGAGGTATCTCCGAATTCCAGATGCGAACATTGCCGGAAGCTGGAGCACCGGATCGGCGCTGTCGCCCTGCACCAGCGAAGTCTCCAGCCCATCCACGCCGATTGGCAGAGTATCGTCCACGTCGTCGTCCACCGACGATGTGTTTGACGGTGAGAATATGCATCTACTGTTTTCACAAAGCGTCCTCTAAAGTAGATGCTGCATTATACATTCATTAATTCAGAGGCAATTTGGTTTAGGATAGAAATTTTGAAACACTATTATTGGGATCGTTTTAAAATGAAGGGTCTTCGGACCAAACTTCAAAATTGTAAATTGATAATAGATATATAAAAGCTTCTGATTAGCTATAAGCAGATTTTTGCTTGATAGAAGATTATCGAGATATTTAAGACTCTCATTCATTCATTACTACTACATTGTGACATCAGAAGCGAAAATATATTTTAATGACTGCGTTCAACAGAAAAAAATAGCTTTGCAACTGTTATAAAATTCTTTAATATGAGTGGTTGATACATTTAGATTCAATAAGGAACCAAGATCAATCATATTAAAGAATTTTACAACAGTTGCAAAGCTGCTTTCTCTGTTGACGCAGCCAATAAAACAACACAATCGATACAACTGACACAACTGACTTGTAAAATATATCAAAAGTTTTCTTTTTGTTTCATTAATTGATAAATAATTATCTAGGTGGAAATGAGTTATGCATAATGAAAAACGAAATGAGCTATATTTAATAGCTATGACAAAATGTCAAATTGATAATATAGATATTAAAATAATATTTATTTCAATATAGGATTTAATTTCTCCCCGAAATATAAGAAGATAATTTTCATTTTATATTTTTTAACTCTATTCTTCTATCAATTACAAATATTATTTTCTTGAAAAATATTTTTATTTGATTATAATTTGTAAGCATTTTTATTGTATATTTTCTCGCTTCTGACGTCAATATCAAATTATAGTGATGAATGAATAAGGGTTTTAATATTTCAAAAGAGCGATCTTAAACTTGGTGTTCTATTAAATATTGTATATTCAATAATTAATGTATTGAACATAATACAATAACAAGGGTATGTCTTCTTTTATCATAATGCAATAACAAGGGCTGTCTTTTTTTATCAAAATATCACAAAATGATATTTTCTCTCTATATAATAAATAATATAATAAATCAGTAATTTTGAGTCTTTCTATAAAATAAAAGGAGACGATTATTCTAATAATAATATAATAATGATACATCTTTTTAGATTCGCGCAAAAATTTCGTGAACTATCCGGAGCGACAATCACCTTTCGTGAAGGATGATAAAAAAAAGGACGATCCAGATCGGTACGGTCGATCGCTCGATCGTGACACTTCCGTCACGGAGAGCGTCGATTCCATAGAATCTCCTAATGAGGTAATATTAAGATGGGAGAAACTAATTGCAGTATTCTGCAAATATAATTTTTATTTTACGCGCGAAACGTACCACACTTAAAAAAGTGATCTTGCAGTTATAGCGAAAATTATCTAACTACGAAAAATTAGCTAAAATAGTTAAATTTCTAGCAAGTACTGCAAGTACATTTGGATATATATTGCATCTAATCACATAGATGACAAAGATAGATTTGTGTTGTAAATTTTATGCATATGACAGATAATTTTCTATCAAATACAAAAAACAGCGATATTCTAACTGGAGCAGCAAAATATTTTTTTTAATTCATTGCGATTCGTTGTCACAATGAAATGTCGCATCGTTCATTCGCGTCACAAGAAGTAGCAGTTCGATAAGAACATCTCGCAAAATTCCTTTTCCGCGACATTCCTTTTCCGAGTGGCGGTGTACATACAAGTGCCGACTTAAAAATATCCACGGCAACATGCGCGCCCGACCGCGCCCGTTGAATTTCTTTGATCAGCGCATCGCGAGCGTATCCGTTAACAGACAGACGGTTCCATTTTAAGGCGAATTTCTTCAAGACAGTCCCCTAGCTAAAATCACACTCGTATAACGTCCGTAGATGAGATTTTGGAGCAACCAAAATTTTGGAGCAACCAACTAACAAACCTAAGCATCTCATGTAATTATTGATGATTCAACAAAATTATTTTCGGATCTAGATCTATCTAAATTTTTAAGTATTCAGCAAAACCATTCTTTCCGTGAATTTGTTTCTTTTTTTTCCAAGTACACATTGTTAAATTTATAATATTAAATTATACTTACATTCAGAGAAAAAGACATAGTGATAGCAACTATATAAGAGACATCTATACAAGTTTAATATGTAGAATTAATGCACATGTAGAGAATAAACTATTTTATAGTTATTGTAACCAAAACTGAAAGATTATAAAAGTAATTTATTAGTTTTTGTAATCATTCAACTTTAATTTTATAATTATAAAATTATCTACTTTAGTATTATAATTATAAAATAGTTTTTATTTAATTATATGTATATTAATTCCACATATAAAAATTGTAAAAATCACTTATACAGTTACTATCATTATAAAAGATGATTCTTTTTTTCTCTGAGTGCAATTTGAGTTATTTTTAATCATTTCTACAGGTCGCTTTTCTTACTCAACATGTCGTTAATTTAACTAAAACAATGGAGTTAAATAATTTAACTCAAGAAAATATTTGATTCAAATTTAGCTATTAAATGCATACATTAATACGGACGTTGTTTACTTTGAAATTATCTAAAAATAATTTACATCTTGACATATATAAAAGTTAAAAATAACAAAATTTTATTTAATTCAAGAGTAGGTGCTCTTTTGATATCTAGCAGTACAAAATATTTTCGGTATTTTTATTTAAAATACTAATTCATTTCTGACAAATATTACATGTATTACGATGAATGGGCATTATTTGTTATTGATTACTGCGAAATTCACAGTAATGTTCGCAGTAATGAAAAATGTATTTTTTGTTCTAAAGGAAAGAATAATAGAAATTCTAATTTTATTGTTACTTTGAAATTGTTATGTTTCCTTAATTAGGCTAATCGTGGTAAACCACTAATTCGCATTATATCGGATACGGATGCTCCAAGCGGAAGCGGGAAAGATCCGGAAGTGTCGCCGAAAAGGCCGACACCAACTCTGACAATCACGATACCATCAAACGAGGAAGAAATCAGAAGTTTGTCTTCACCGGAATCGATATCTCCTCTTCCGTCGAGCGCACAGGATTCCGGTGGAAGCTCGCCACAACGCCCCAGGATGCGGCAGGACATTTTGAGCTTGAAAGAATTCAAACGACAGGTTGGACGAGTGATTTGCATAAAATTCTGATGTTTACAGCCCCATATTTTCATAATTGCTGTTGTCACTCTTAAATATAGACTTAATCGTCGCGTAAAAACTTCGTATACCTAACGTTCGCTCAAACGGAATTTTTTCTTTCTATCTTTTACGTTGAGGGATGTATCGCTTGAGACATTTGGACAAAACGTACCGTCTTTGTCCACGTAGAAAATAATGCTTCTTACGTTCACGTAATAAATAATTGTTTCCTCCGAATTTCGCAGCGATGCTTTCTCTTGCCAAACGGTTGTCGCGGACGTCGTCGTGACACGTATAATGTGATGTTTGCTTCCAGTATTCGACGATCGAGGAAGCGGTAACGCCAGCGCCAAAGATACAACAGCAAGATTCGAAATGGAACAAGGTCAGACGTGCTTTTCTGACAAATGCCACTTTCAGCGTTCCTCCAAGTCCGATTAGAGTGGTCGCGGCGCAATCGTTCATGAACGATGGTGAGAATTTAGTGAAGCTTCCCAGAAAACGCGTCTTTAAACCAACATACATTTCGTGAATTCTGAGCTAACATTAATCTCTGAACTAATAACATTAGGAATTGTATTAATCGTGAAGAAGCTAACCGGCAAACACTAACCGTCCAAGTAACACAATTTATTGGCAAGACATTGATTAAATATTGGCATGCATTGGAGATATATTGGGCCAATGTTATGTCAATAAATTGCGCTACTAGGATAATAGTAACGTTACATTAATATTATAATTTCCCACTCAACAATATAATACAATATAATACAAAATACAATGTAATACGTAACAGTTATACATAACAATGTTATAATTTTTACTCAACAATATAACTCTTACGTATAATATGTGTTGTATTTATAGTTGAAAATTATAATATTAATATAATATTACTACTATCTAGCAGCACAATTTATTGACACGACATTGACAAAACGAAAAATTGTAACAATTGTTATAATTTTTTGTTATGTTACTGTTAGTTCATGTTTACTAGATATTAATGTAAAAAAATTTAATTTAATTTGTAATACAATATATATTCTTGAACTAAATCTTTTTCAAAAGTCTGAAATTTTCGGTCCCTACAATTTTAGAATCTCGTTTCAACGTCCAGTAGGTTTACGACTGATTCTCGTCAAGTCTTTTACACTTTTGTGCCATAAATCTTTATTTAAAAGAAACATTATATATGTGTATTCAATCACAAAGGCGCGCGAAGATAAACGGCTCTGTTATGCATTTATTTCTGAAGTTTGAAACAGAATTTTGAAACTGACTTCTCCGAATTGTTCGCAATTTTAAGATTGCCTGATTAATCAAATAATTAATTAAAAATTAATTATTAATTGATTGAAATCAATTATTAATTATGGAAATGAAATTAATTAACTGATAATTGGGACAAATTAATTGAAAATGAATTATTTTATTCCAGTCATCAATTCTAAAATTCACTTCTAGAATTTGTTTAACAATTATATTATATTATTTATCTATTTCTCAGTTCTAAGTTTTTTGTAGTTACTTGTTCGAAGTACTCTTCAGCTTAACGATGCATTTCTCTATGTACTTTAATAAATCCATTGTTTTTTTATGGTTTATCTGTATCGCTTCCTGCGTCGTCATCTCATGTGCTTTCAGAACTGTCTTGCGAAACTTGGCGATCTCTTCGAACTTACGACGCGCTTCCTCCTTCATCTGATCGAGCATTTTTGTCGCTTCGTCCGACTGTTCCTTCGTGCATTTCGTGAGATCGAAAGGAAGATAATGTTTGCGACACATGGTGAGATTTCTCTCCGCGCTCTCAATGGAGATCGATAAGTCACTTCGCAATTTCTTTAACATAGATGCTATATGCTTCTCGTTTGGACCGATTACTCGTTCCAGAGCGTCAAAAGACCGTTTTATCTCGTCATTGAGCAGTAACATCTTCTGTCGCATCCAGTTGCCATAAGAAACGTCTAATTTCATCAGTTCATCCAGTTTTTCCGTCGTCTTTTTAAAGAGATTCTCTAATTGAGTCGCACGAGTGGCTCTGTTGCTATCTAAATGAGTCTTTATGTCGTTCGTAATTAATTGCGATTCATTCTCCACGAATTTTATCAGATCCTTAATATGAAGCTTTAAAGAGTGTTGGGCGTTTAAATAATCGTCACTGGCTGTAATTGTTTTGCACTAAAATTTATTATGCTTTATGAAATTACATTAATAAATAATAATATTATTGTATACATTAGAGATTCTAAGATAACTTTTTTTAAAAAAGAATTTCGCTTAAAACAGTTTTGTTAAATAATCAAACATTTGAGTTATAACCTCTTAATTTTTTAATATTGAAAGAGAGATAATTTAAAGATCAGTTAAATTGTTTTAATAACACAAAATTATTTTGAATAAATTATTGAAGGATTTATATAACAAATAAAATTTTCAAAATTTTCATTTAACCTATTTGCACATTTTTGTTAAAAAATTTGAGAAAATGTTTAATCAACGAATTAGATAATTTGCGATTTACATTAGATTACCTTTGATTTGGGAAATAACTTTTTACAGATTTGTACGAACGACGAAGGACATTCTTCAAGTCTCTTTTGGTGTTGCTCGGAGGTTAAACGAGTTTTATTTTCAGACCACTCGATAGACTTGCCATTTTGTGATACTTTCTTATTGAAATAAAAAACGGGCAACGAATTTCTCGCAACATTATTCAGAATTTGACAGCCCACTTGAAAATTTTTTGACAACATGCCAATTGTGTCACATGTTGCTCTTGTCAAAACGAAACAAAAATAATAACTGGTTATGACAAACAAAAGACATAAGTCTGACTTAAAAAAATGTTAAAGTATATTCAATGGAATTAATTAAATAATTAAAAAAATGATAGGTACTTTCAAATTATTTTCTTGTAGCAAAACAATAATATGACAAAAATGTAACAATGACAATATAACGATACTGTCATTAAAGTTACAGATCAGATTGTACTCCAATTATTATTGCTATTAAATTCATTTCGCGAGAATAGTTTCAATATAATGTACGGATAGATGTTGCTATCTTTTTTTAAAATCAATGTCTGTCATCAAGCTTCTATAAGCTCTTCCATCTTTCTAGCTTTAAACTCCGCTTAAGAAACACGACTAATCTCCCTGAAAGAATTGCGAAGATTCTTTCTTAACTCTTCCGCATGTTTATTATGCGCTTCTCGTCGCTGCATAAAATGTCTTCGTTGTAAACGCAGATACGCGCCGAGCTCGCAGCCTTAGTGAAAGCGTCGAGGATCTCGGTAAAACCGTTGCAGGTATCAACAACAACGGCAACTACTATCGGGAAACGCGCAGGGATTATCAGGCGTTGCGGGAGAAGTTCGGTGCAGAGTTTCACCGGAAGCTGATCGAATGGGAGCGATTGAAGGGCCCGCAGAACATTCGCAACGGCTTGCCGTTAAACGAGGAGCGTCTCGCGCCCGAGTTTAGGAAAAAGCTGCAAGACTGGAAACGAGCGAAGAAAGGTCGTCGGTCCAGCGCAGCTATCGAGCAGCAACGCGTCAGCCGTCGACGATTGACCGACTGGCAGCTTTGGCGCTCTTCCTCGTCGAAACCTGAACCCAGATGTTACGGCGTACGTTGATCTCGTGAACATTTGCGTGAAAAATAACAAGTGTTCTGAGAAAAGAAAGGGCTGCTGGATTAAAGCTATAATCTTGTAAAATTTAAGACGATTTATTCCCGAATATCGAAATCTTCATCCTTTATTGTGCCCGTATCAGACTAGAGATTAAGAGATTGAAATTGAATTTATAATCAATCTAAAGAAAAGAACCAATAATATATAATGTGACCAAAAAAAAACAAGCAAATGTAGATAAAATTAAAAAATAATAGAATTTATTATAAATTAATATTTATTTATTATTTTTTTATTATTTCTTTATTATTTTTATATTTTTATTACTACATGTATACTTGCTCAATTTTTTGCCATTACTTTATTATACTAATAAAGTAATAGCATAATATTAGCTTGACTTTCTTGTTTTAAAAAAATCAAGTCTTCTTAGTAATTTAATGAAAAATTAAATTTTATTTCACAAAACTAAACTTTGCTTTGATTAGTCAAATTCTATTTTAATCTTAATTTCTAGTCTGATATAAGCATTGCCATAGTCTTCTAATTAAGATAAAAGATCAGAAACTGTTTTTAATCGAAAACTTTGCGCATCTAAAAGATCTCTTTCATATTACAATTAATATGATCTACATGCCGTTTTTCTGATTTGAACATTTCTGAATATTTTTTTTCGACATTTTTCGCACGATAGAAAAATCAGAGCTCGATCGGCTCGCGCGGAAGCTGCGCGAGTATCGGTAGCGCGGTGAGCTTCGGCAGCGATGGGAAGCAACATCTTTGCGAAGATTTTATCAAAAGGATGGAGGCATGGAGGAGAATGAGCGAGGCCTCAAGTCGAAGTGGCGAAAGACCGAAATCACCGATGACAAATCGTGTCGCGTCTGACATTGACGAAACGGAGTTTCTTGCTTTGGAAAAGCTGCTTCTGCTATTTGGGCAGAGGACCAAGAAGGAACTTCGAGAGAGCGATGCGAGGCAGCTGAACGATTGCTTTGATGGTGATTCGAGGTACGAAAGTTCGAATGATGTAAAAAACATCTGAGAAATATCACGTTTTTTAATTATTATGACACACAAATATAACACAAATCTGTACCGTAATTAACGACGTAATTAAATATACCTTGCAGGAATAGTTTCAAATCAATTTACATATTCCTGGACAAACATCGCTATCTCTTTTTAAATCATTCCGTCCATATGTGAATGAAATAGATTTACAATTGTTATTTAAAATTGTTTTTAAATTATATTGCTACATTAATTTTTTATTTTAAAATGAATAGTTTTATAATAAAGGTTTGCATTATCTAAAGCAGAAGAAATTATTATAAAATAAGATAAAAAACTCCACACTAATTATTTGGTAAATTGAGTCCCAGTGAAATGAAGTAATTTTCACATATAATAATAGAATTAGTTAATCATGCTTTTTGCGAATTACTGAGCTTTTTGGTTGATTCAAGATTCATGGCTGCGTCTCGAGGAGTAAATTGTGGTAACGAGGTGTTGATTCGCACGTCTGTCGGCTCTTATCGTTTCGAGGGTATATCTCGAGAATTTACAAGGAAACTGTACGACTGGGAGAAATACCGCGGAATATCTCCGAGATCTTCCACGTTTCGCCTTTTGGGGCCGGGCTATACGCCGTTCACGCAAGATTCGAACGAAGTTGCATTGACAGAGCCAAGTACGATGAGTAAGATTAAGTAATTTTGAAAATGATATTTTGAAATAACAGTTGCTAAAATATTGTTATTCCGTAATTTTACAGGCAAGAATCATGCATATCACTGGACTCTGAAACGATCTAAATCTGACGGTAGTGTTTTCGAAGGCAGTCTTCGCGACGAATCGTTCACATTACGTCGCTCTGCAAGTCTCCAATCTCTTACTTCTGCAGGCAAGCTCGAAGACGACAATCGGATAGATGTTTTACCGGTTCCCGGTAGTAAGTACACTATTCTACTAATGACCTGTCTTTAATGTCTTTTATGTTTTAACATTCTCAAATAATCTTCCGGGTAACAACTCAAGGAATACACCAAGTCAAAAGAAAGTCAAAATGATGACTTTTGGTTACAAAATTTGAGTGTTAAAATTATTTAAATTTTTTATTGACTTTTATATTCCTTGGAAAGTTGATTATTTATTGTCATTATTTATTATTTGTCATTTTGACATCAAAATAAATAACATCAGTTTGCTATCTCCGCTTACATTAATTATAATAATTAAAACGCGTAGTTTTATATCTTTCATTAATTACAGTATAGTTTATGTTTAATTTTATAAAATATTATATTTCAGTTTATTTATTTCTGATTTATCTAAACCATACCTGTGCTATCACATTTAATTGTTTATCAGTTGCTAATAATTTATTGCATCCATTTGTCGCAGATAACTCACAAAGGATCAAAGATCCGGAGGATACAGCGGTAGAAGATTCCGAGCCAGAAGCGATGATTGTCGACATCGAGGATGTTATTGAAGAGACTGCCAGTCCCTTGGCAGGAGTACAACCTCATCAAACGCCAGTGTACTCCGTCGCAGCCAGCGAAACTACTAGCATCGCTGTTCCTCTTGGCACAGTCACATCGAGTCATGAACCTTCGCCAGTATTCTTGGTCAAGACCAAAGACGATGAAGACTGTGAACGATGGAATATCGCGAAGATTGGCCTGCAGACTTGCTCGAGCGAGAACAGTCCGAGTCCAGAATACTTCCCGGTATCTGAGGACTGGTGCGGAAGAACCTCGTTGGATGATGACAAGTCGAACTGGGAATCGAGCTGGTACAAAGAAAGCAGGGAAGACGACGACTCCACAAGATGGACCGAGAAGGCGCGACGCTCAATTCCAGATTCCGGTGATTCTGTAAAGTCTGACCGTTCTATTGGGTGGAATCGAGATATTTGGGATGAATCGGGTGATGAAGCAAATAGGTAAACTTCAAAACAATTTTTTTAAGAAGTTATCACACGGAAAAAAAACGGTTTTGCTGAAGTATCTAAAAATTTAACTAAATCTATTTTTCTAAATTCTTTGGAGCGAAATCTCACTTTAAAGAGTAAAAATTGAACTAGTCTTAAAAAAAATTAACTCAATTTTCAATCTTTAAGAGTAAAATTTTACTTTTCAGAGCTTTCACTCTAAAAGTTTTAGAGAATAAATATATTATAGATTTGATAAGTTGAATTATAATCAAAATAAATATATATTTTATGGACACTCAAATTTTTGTAACATTGCTTATGTTCGAATTTTCTACGTAATTATTTTGATGGTCAAATAAAATTATTTTCAGATCTGTATTTGACTAAATTTTTAGCAAAATCGTTTTTTCGTGCAGATTTCGACAATCGTATAAAAAATCGGTGATGTGTTCTCAGAGATTCGATGATTCTCGAATCGTCTTCCACATCGATCTGCGAAAATAAAAGCGATACAAGAAAGGAAGATTTTCTCGGTAAAGTATTTCAGATGTATATCAATTTTTTTCAAGATAAAGTATTAAGTTTATCAACTTCCTATAAACTGTATGTAGAAATAAATCAAAGATATATTATTTTCCCTATTTTCCGATATTCTATTTCAGAAAGTGACAACGCTGGATCTATTCACTTTAAAAGTCTCGAAATCTCATCGATGACTCCGAATGCGGAAGAACTTATGGTACATTAAAAATTAAAATTCAATTTTATTTTAATCTTATTTTCATGTTTTCATTTCGCACGTTTATTTAATTTTAATCACTTTCACGCAAAGCATGAATAAAGAAATTGCCTATTTACGAATAAAGTTGCTTATCGCTCAAGATTCGCAAGACTTCCAGTCACTGCGTTGAAGCAAACTTTTTGGAAAAGTAAGTTTTATCATAACGCAATTGAAATTAGAGTCCTGTCGGTACAACCAGGACCCACCGCGTACGTGCAAGGGGATGGATGAGACGTGTAAGGAGAAGCCCGAGGATCTAGCAGACGAATCTTCGAACAATGAGTGGACGAGCGATGCGAAGAATTTCCGAGATGACGAAGATGATGAGAAAACCAAACAGGGAGACATAATTCTCAGCGCAGAATTTTGCGCTTATCAATTAACAAAAACGGTACCATCTTCGGTTTGTCCCGATTCCAAGGAAACTTCATCAAAATTATTGAATTTAAATTCAGGCAAGTCCATATTCTTCTTTAATTCTTGTAATTTCTATTTATTGTGTTTTGTATTAACTACATGTATCACATTTCAAAGCATTATTAAAAATATAAAAATATCGTAGATTATTCTATTATTACATTTGAATATCTAATGTAAAATTTAGCATAATTCTCTTATTGGTTTTTTTTACCTAAGATTGAAAGATAGTAATTGATTACTCATATGGATTAAAAAGCATTGAGCAATAATACTTTTAATGCTTAAAATAATTCATTATCATCTTTTAGTATTAAATTGGTTAATATCAGATTTTTGTAAAAATAAATCATTCCTATAAATCAAATTATTTGTGGTTTTGCAGTTAATCTTGTGGCCAACATTCTTTGATTAATATCGGATCTGTTAGTTTTTCTATTTTAGTTTTTGTTAGTTGATACTTTTAGCTAAAATTATAACTAAGATATTCTTAACTTTATATCTTTTTCTCTTACAAGAATATCATGAAAATTCTTTTCTCGTATATAGATAATAACAAGGATACATCGGAATACCGTAACATTGACAGCGAAAGCGAGGCTTCAGCACATTATGAGAGTTGCAATTCACCCGAGTTGCAGACCGATGCGGATCGGCATTACGAAATTCTCACATTTAAAACCGATATGTGCGGCAATACAATGGATAATCGCTTATACGAGCCAGTCGACTATCACGAAATTCACAACTCCTCTTCTGACAGAAGCAACTGCATAAAAGATATTTCTTCATCATCGAGAGTACCAGAAACGAAAAAATCAAATCTCTTAGAAACTCCGAGAAGTCTCTTTATCGATTCGACCATTCAAACTATTCCTGTAACAGTCTCTAGAAATAATGAAACGCGCAGTTTGGAAAGAATTCTGATCAACGAGGAGACCTTGAATAAAATAATTGTTCCTACGGCGTGCACAGAAAAATCGTCAGAACGACATCACGGCCGTCAATAATTACGCGTCTAAAAAAATGATTCGCGATCACCAAGTTGAATGTGTCAAGAAGGATGGTTCTTCTACCAGAAATGTCTTCGTGAAAACAAAGCGCATGATCTTCAGTCCGTTTCGTCGATCAGAAGATCGACCATCCTCGAGAAAGCAGAGCGACAGTTCCGTCGATGATCGACTTCTACATTCATCAAAATCCAAGAGCAAGTCGAGATCGGCGTCGCCGAAATTGAGCCGACAAGATGCTCTATTGCGTGTATCATTATCGCTGCCGTGGCCACTGCGATCTACGTCAAAGGAGAGTGAAATTCCCTCCGAAATCGGGTCCAGAAGAAGCTCAGGAAGCAAGACGGAAGATGCAACAATGACCCAAGAAAAAAATTCGCCATGTGAAGAGATTAACGTGGATAATAAGAGACTGAACGGAGAATCAAGTAACAATGACCCACCATTTATTGATGAGGATCAAGAAGAAATTCATCAGTCAGACACAGAGTTTGCGACAATGAACGCATGCTCGATCGAAAATACTTCTGCACGAATTTCTAAGCAACTGGAAAAATCAAAAATAACAATACTCGAACGGGATTCAGATGTATATCGAATGCGGGGCAAGTTAAAATATAATCAGACATACGACGATGGTGAACGCGATAAAGTCAAGTGCAGTCAAGTGCAATTCGAAGGAAAACGCGACATGGAAAGAAACCGTAGCCAGAAGCGAGAAGAGGGGTGGCAAGAGGAAGTGAAATTTGGCCGGAAAGAGGACGAAGCAAAGCAGCAAAATGAGAATCACTCTAGATGTGACGCGGTATCATCGGATTTGATGCACAAACTTAGGATACTTTCGGATGCCGCGGCGAAAAGAGAAGGACGAATGACGACAGCGGAATCCTCCGTGATCAGCAGTTTGGAATCACGTTCCTCCAGGATAAGACGAGCCAAGGAAAGCTTTCTGTCTCGGCGAGGCGGTCCTTTCTGTCGCTCCGTAATGGAACCGACGGATGCTGCCTCCAACCCTGAAGATCCTTGGAGACGGACGTCGACGACTCAGATATCAACAAGAGAAATAACGAGATCGAACGAAATCACAGTGACTGCTTCGAGCTCGCAAGAATCGAGATATGCGAAAAACCATACAGAAACGACGATGTTGACCGTAGAAAACGAAACCGTGTCTTTGGGCGAGGACAAGATCGACGTTCGAACGGATTCGCTGGTGAAATCAGCAAGTGCCGGAATGATCAATGTGGATCCCGACACGTTCGATCGGCTGGTCACGGTTGATCGTGGATGCGAATCTCTGCCGAGGGCCATTGCGAAACGCCGCGACTCCTCGAGCCCGTTGGCGAAGATCGTCGGGAAGCTGAAGCTTTCGCGATTAATTCGTGCTCGGAACGTCGACGGTGGCAACATGAGCACGATCACGACGTTGTGTAGGCAGAGTCTGTTGATCGATATGCGAAACAATCCCAAAAATCAAAGTAACGAGCAAGGGATTGAGGATCCAGTCGAGGATGATACTGACGACGAACATTCGGATGAATCTTGTAAAACGATTCACGAATGAAATCTGTTCTTTAATCGAGATTATATATTTATGTAATATTCCAGATGTCTGTGAATTTTTTTTAAATATGGCACTTAAGTTTGCTTCATCCTATAATAACGAAAAGATGTTAATCTTCAGTAATAAAGACTACAGCAATCTATACAAGCGAATTAGGAAGACACGCGTAATTAAATGTTTTAAGAGAACTATACTTGCTAATTAAATCGCATGTGCGTGCTTAAACGTCAATGAAAAAGATGATATTTTTAATTTTATGAAGAACGCTAATCAATATTAATCATCTTGCAAAGTTAAAATGCAAATTTATAAATTCTATCAATTAAATATTAATATTTAGATAATTTATTTATTAATAAGAATATTAATGATAATTACGCACTAATGATATTACAAGTTATAAGCGATTAAAAGAACAGAATTCGTGAATTAATAAGTAACAAAACAATTTTTATATTCATAACAGCTATTTATAACAAAATACTTAATTAAAATAAAGGATAAACGTAAAACAAGATCGGAAAGAGAGATGCAATTGACAGTATCGTCCAACTTTATAACATATTTTTTATTAGTTCTTTACTTATAATTTTTTTTCAATACCAATCCAGTATGGATAAGAAAAAAAATCTGTATGAGCAGTGGTGCATCAGTTATTGTATGTATTAATCAGTAATTATATATACCTCAGTTTGAATTCTATTTAGTGCTTATTAATAATATAAGAAATGGAAATTAAGTTCTTCCATTCATCAAAGCACGAAATGTTTAAAATAATTAAGGTCGTCCTATATGATAAAATAATCAAGTCCATAATGTTCAAATTACGTATTCAATAATTATACAATAATTCACATACCGCAATAATTAACTGCGTTGCTTCGTAAAGATTTTCTTTCTACCTTTTACTTTATCTTTTGATTCGCAGAGCTGGAAACATAATTCATTTTAATCTTATCGTCAGCGTAACTAATTCTATAAATAAATACGCAAAATGTGTCATTCGTATCAAATGTCGTGAGAATCTTGCAAATGGATTCATATTTTCGATAGAAGGATTCTGTTGTATTCTATTCTAATTATTACACTGAAAGAAAAATGTATTAAATTTTAATAAATAATCATTTGAATAATATTAACATAACATTTACTTATAAAAAATAAATATTTGCTAAATTAATAAAAAATAAAATAGTTAAATGACAAATTAAATTCTTATATCAAATAAACATAAATTTACATTCCAGTAAATATTCAATTGGCATTATTCAAACAAATATTTATTAAAATTTAGTATATTTTTTTGCAGTGTGTATATTAAATTACACAAAATTGTTTTTTTTTAAATAATGGATAAATACCGTGTCCCTCGTTTTTCGTCCCACAAGGAAGAGTAAACACAATGAGACGACGGTTACGATTCTGGTCGGTGTTTGATTAAACGGGATTAATGTCCCCGGGGCGATTTCAAGTGGCGAGGAGAAAGCGAGCGCGTGTCGTAAGCGCGTGCCTCCCCGAAGTCGCCATGGCTCGATTCTTCCTCACCCCTTCGTCGTCTCACGTGCGTGCCCTCTCGAGCCCACTCCTCTGGTCGAGCCGACCCTTCCGCTGCTATGACGGAAGCCCTTTCCATGTGGAACTGGGAGAGGATCGAATCGTCGAACCGTCGCTCGATCGCATTAAGCGGATTTCATTCGGCCTCCAAACGGTCATGCAAACAAATCGCTCGACTGGCGTCAGCGACTCATTTTCAGTGCGCTTATTGTACAAAGCGTAACGACGACGGGACTGCCATGGGAAGGATGTTGATCTCCGACGAATCAACATCCCTTGGGATACCGGGGATGTAAACTCGCGTTTTACGTTCTACTGCGTTTTAATTTTCTTCTTTACATACGTGTCTCGTAAACGAAACGTTCAACCTTTTTTTCGCAAGGAAGCAGTGCAAGGAAACATTTATTTGTGATGGTACAAGTTTGTTTGAGTGTGATTCATTGTCAAAATAAAAATTAATCCATTTCTGTAATTAGTTTCAAAGATAACAAATATTAACGTATGCATTTAGTAATTAATAAAATAAATTTGAATCAGATTTAATATAATTTTTTAGTTAAATTATTTAACTTCAATGTTTTAATTAAACTAGTAACAAAGAAAATTAAAAAAATTATAAAGCGATTTTTATAATATCGAAAAAAATTATAAAAAGAAACATATTTTACATAAATATTTCTTTAGAAGTAGTAGAACGATATTTTACCCACATCTTGTGTATCCATCGATACTTAGAGATAATCGAGGATCGAGGACATTAAAAAGATCACGAGATATTGTATCTTTTAGGGTGGGGCTGAGTATGCTTGAAACGCGTTTGGGAAAAACGATCGCAGGTACAGGATCCTTCACCGATTTACGATTTGAGACGCGCAAACGCAGGATCATCGACGTAGAGCACAATAGGCGGTCGTGTTGCTCGTTGCCTTCTCCAGGATCGAGCTGTCCGTCTACCTGCGTCTATAATCCGGAAGCGTTCGCAGGAGCACGCACGAGCAGGCACGTTGTAAGAGATATTACATCGTGGGATCGCGCGATGTGATTTTGTACATCTCTCGTACGAAAAGGAGATCGCTCCGAATCTCCTTCCCTTTCTTTTTAGACAATACACGCGATCGACTTCCGTCGGACCACCCGGACGGGACTGTGCGACGATTTTAGAGCGTTCCTGTGATATCTATTGAAATGGACCAGGAATTACCTTTTGCATATATTGATTAATTTTCTATTACGTCCATACAATTTTGCATTGCTAGGGGTTGCAATGCTCAAATTTTGAAAACTCATGACATTATAATTGAAAGTATAATTGAAAGTATGGAAAGAAAGTGATGTTATGCATATTTAGTATTCTAATTAACATTAAAAGAGTCAATGATATCCTGCTAAAGCTGCTAAAAGTTGGTAATTTTCTATTCTTATTTTTGATTAGTCAAAAATTATTTTGATATTACGTATCATTACTCTCTAAAACTTTTAGAGTGAATCTTACTCTTAAAAATTGAAAACTGAACTACTCTTTATCAAGACTTGAGAGCGAGATTCCACTTCGAAGTATTTAGACAGTAGAATTATTTGTATTATATTATGTTCACATATTTTTATTATTCTGTATCGTATATTTAATACGAATAAAAGAAAAACAAAATTGAAGTAATAGCGGAGCTAAAATAACACTATCAGTAATATTAACGTTAAAGCCTTGTTTCAATTCAGAATTTTAAAGGTGTTCCACTCTCAAAAGTTGCTAACTTTGAAATAGATTACTTTTCTATCAACACAGCGATTTATATAATATTCGTGACTTCTTCTGCGCCTACAATTGAGAGTCTTCGTACATATATTCATTTCTTCCTTTCTTCATTTCTGCCTTGCAAAATGGATTTGTTTTCGTCGCGAATAAGCTTGAGCGATCAGTTCATCGAATGTATTATACAGCAGATCCGAGTTTGAACAAGCGGGCAGAAATCGCAGAAGACACGTTGGTCGCAACTTAGTCGCGCGAGCGAATGGCAGCGAAACGTTGTCGGCGAGGAGTAGCTGATTTATGTCCATTGTGGTCGGCACTCCGAGTAATTCCGCTGCGACGGGTGCACGAGTAAACGTATATGCTGTTTATCTTCGTCCACGTGGCCAAGCTCATTCTATCACGTGTCTCCTTCAGTTCCAACGAGATTGATTCAAAGCGCGAAAATATTTAGATCAAACAATTGTTTGACTTTTCAAAATCGAAAAATATTAGAAGGGTTGTTAGCTTTTTTAAGCGTTGCTTGTTTAGAATATATTTCTAATATATTTAGAATTTATGAGATTCTTACGATTACTACACTGAAAAAAATATTAAATCTTAATAAATATTTGTTTGAATAATTTTAAATAAATATTTACTAAACGTAAACATATATTTATTTGATAACAAAAATCATTCATTTGATTTAACTATCATTTTTTTATTAAGTATAAATATTTATTTACTGCAAGTAAGTGTTTACTTATATAATATTCAAAGAAATATGTATTAAGATTTAATAAATATTTTTCAGTGTATTCTTTAGCTTTCTGAAAAAATATAAAAAAAGTTTAGAGTCTCCTTTTTAAAGTCTTCAATTAATAGATGCCAGCGTGGCCGAAAAAACAATCCTATCGACCAAATGGAACGAAACGCGCATTTCCGCCGCATATTTCGTCGCAATCCCTAATTCCAGTCACTTAGGTATCTCGTCCATAAATTACTATTCAGTCTGTCCGGCTGTACTCGCGAAGAACAAAACCGAGGAACCAGAAGGAGATACACAGGTGCTGTGTAGAGACCGGCACGGGGGCTGCCGAATGCACGGTCTGCACCGACAAATTTCAACCGGCCGATCGTGGTTATCATTTGATCCGGTCGCGAGATTGCGCTATCCCGACGCTTAATCCTCGTCGGTCGTCTCGATCCTGATGTGATGTCGGTAGCCCGATCCTAAGGACCGAGATATTTGGCTGCGTATTCGGTGCGCGCGTTAGACCGTCTCTCAAATAAAGCAATCGCCAAGATCAGACAACAACGCGGCGGCATTTGTCCCTTTATCCGCCTACCCTTCTTTTTCGCAACCCCTTCCCGTCTGATAGCGAAAGTAGCCACTGGCTGCTGGTTGCAGTCGGGCTCTCCTTTGTCAGAAAACGAAGCCTGCTGACAGAGCGAAGGTGGTAGTCGACTCCGCAGAATTAATCGCCTCGGGGAATATTTACGTTCTCTCGTCCAAAAGGCCTTATCCCATCGCTTGTCTCTATCTCGCTTTTTCTCCCACAACAGTCCCCGGATCCGGTATTCCTCCTCCTCCTCCATCGTAGAGATCCTCGCGGTTAGATGCGACCGTGAATCGGAGCTTCGCGACGATCGCTTACGTTAGTCTGATCTTATCGCGGCGGAGACCGCAGCGGGGGTGAAAAAATGTTAAATGCCACGCGACGAAGTGTGAAACGAACATAAAACGTATATTAGAGTATAATTAGCTTCCTGAATATTTTAATTGTTCAATTAAGAGAAATAAATCTATTTTTGGTCAAAGCGAATCTTAGTGCTTAAATATTTCAGAGCGAATTTATATTTTTCGCAATAAATAAAATCTTAGATTTACGTCAAATTATTAATATCCTTTTAAAATGCTTATTAACATCGAAAATTATTAAATTACTTATCAATTTAATTTGTGATATTACTACTCTAATTAAAGAAATTGATTACATCTTAAAATCTTATATCAAATGTATTATTAGTTTTCACAATTCAGAAATTATGAACTTTTTAACATAATTCTTATACGTAACATTTTAATACCATTTAATTAATAACATTTGAATGTAATAATTTTCGTACGTATTCAACAATTTCTGTTAAAGCGAAACTGTAACTAAGCTTGTTAGCTTAGTTATAACAAATATGTGAAATATGGGAGAAAATATTTTTATTTTTTTCCATGTAATAAAGCAATTGGCAAAATGCTCTTTTTTGGGAAAAGGGATGTTGCTGTTCAAGTTAGCACTTGGAATCTACTTTTCTCGCCGTTCGATGGAAAAGGACGTTCGAATGTGGCGGTTTGCACACGGAAGTTTGCTCTATCCCCTAAATAACGTTAAACGCGAAAGGGCGGAGGCATTCTATTGTCACTGAAACTTTGGTCGTTTTATGATTTTCCAACAGTGTTTATTTAGACGCCGCATTTCTTCTTTTATCAATATTGTCCAAAAAATTTCATATTTATCTAACTTCTGCGGTATCCAGAAGTTCAAGTTTATATGTTTTCGTAACTTAGAAGCGGAACTGAAGCGATCCACTGCCTTGTTTAATTAACTTCCTTAATTGTTTAATTAATTTTTACAGCATGGAAAAATCACTATAAGATAAGGTGGTACAATTTCGAACATATAATTTTAAATGAATTCAATTTTCAGAGTTCAAGATTAATTTTTTCCTGTTTGATACTTTTTAATATTCACCACACAATTAGAAAGTTACTCTTAGACCTCAAAAATTAGTTGTACATGTTCAAAATTGTATCACCTTATTACCTTAGTGGAGCTGAAACGCTGTCATATTTTGAGAATACAATGGAATAATGAATTATAAGAAACCTTACTCAAGGAAAACCTATGTATAAGAATTAAAAATAGATCCCTGTCCTATAAAGGTTTTAAAGAAGTGAATAATTGATTCGGGAGGTTTCAGAAAGTTCTAGCGCTCTTACATGTTAATGCTAATAAGTATTTGCTTCGCGAAATTTGAAAATTTCATCTGCTGAAAGAAAAATAGGTCGAGAATGTGTAAGGTGCACACCCTGGACGCGCGAGAAGGAAGAAAAGGAAGGAAGGAGTCATCGCCGAAGGAAGAAGTCTACAGGTTCTCAAATTGCGATGAAACCGGGCACCGACGCGTCGCGTGGGTTTCATATAACGACCGGACCACCGATGGCGGTGCTGCCCATCTCTTTTATACTTCTTCGACGGATATTCATTCATCCATCGACCCCGACGCGCTGCCTAATTCTTGCTAGAGGAGTTGCATGCACATACGAAAAATGGATCGACATTGACAAATAATGATAACGAATCTCGAAACACTTGAAGATATGAGAAACATAGGAAGTTAGATAATTGAAATAATTTTGAATATTATGTATGATATAACGCGAACATAATTATTTAAAGATTAATAAGTATGTAATTATTTAAAGATTAATATAGTATGTAATAAGATATATAAAACTATACTCGTATTGTAGAATAATTATTGTAGAATAATTTTATTTTGTAAAAATACATCGCTTTTTCAGTCTCGCAGGAAGTATATAGCTATATGCTGTATTAAAAATAAATTATAATATGCACAATTCAGCGGACGATATAATACAGCGCTTAAGATTAACTAATTTAACGAGCTATGATACAAAATTTACAGATATATTTACATGTTTCGTATTCTGTACGAGATCGTTATTATCGGTTATCACATTTTTCATTATTATTTATGGCGGTCCTATAGATATGAAATAGTCACAAAGATGAATTTCAAAATTGTTGAAAATATAAAATTTGTGGAAAAATATTGATAAATATTATCAAATGTGATTTTAAAACAATAGATACAAATTGAAATGATGACTCGTCCAATTTGTCAATTACCTATACAAATACTTTTTTAATTTAAAGGCACATGTCTCAAATGCGATAATATTAGCCTATTAGAATTAATAATTGTCCAAATCTCTATACTAGATTTGTCGGAATCAGCCTATTGAATTCTATCTTTCTGATTAAATAGCTTTCATGCAGAACTTATATTTTGTTTAATGAAAGTACTTCCCATCACTTGAAAAACGCTACGAATTAATTCCAACACCTAATATATAAAGAGGATGGTTTTGCTAAAAATTTAAATAGACACAGATCCTAAAATAATTCTGTTAAACTATCAAAATTATTATGTAGGACGTTTAAATGGTTGTTAAAATGTTAAAACTTTTTACAACATTATTTCCTACATAATTATTTAGATAATCCAAGAAAAAAAATCGTTTTTAATCATTTTTAAATTTGTATCTACCTAAATTTTTATACGTCAATAAAATCTTTTTTCCATGTATAGCTTCAATTGTTTTAACTTCGATCGTGATTAAATAACGTCTAGAAAAAAACTCGCGAATCACTACTCTACAAAGAAGTACTCGCGGATTCTTGTTAGATCGACTTTTTTTGCTTGGCGAACTTGACTTCCGGTATCGCGGCGAATGAACGCACTCCCTCTTTCTCTTCTTCTTCTTCTTCTTCTTCTTCCCTCTTGCGTCTCCCTCCTTTTTACTGCAGCAAGTCATAAAGTGCAGTGATGTAGGATTGAGCCATCTGCAGCGTCTCGTATTTCGATAACTGTCTATCGTTGCCCAGGGTCGGCAGGTAAGCGCGCAGCCTGTCGAATGCCTTGTTCAGATTCTGCATCCGCCTCCTCTCGCGTGCGTTCGCGGCCAGCCGGCGTTTCCTCACGATGGTTGAGTTGACGTACTTGCCCTTCCTGCGGGAATCGCGTCCGCCGGAAGTGACGTGCGCATTCTCCGGATGATCCGCACCTCCGTCGCTGACCTCATCCGCATCCTCTTCACTGTCGCCGTCCAACGTCCTGTCAGACAGGCCGCCGCTGCTGGAGTTGCTGATAATGCTGCTATGGCAGGACCGCGTTTTATCGGCGTCCAGGTTGATTGTCTCCTCGATGTCCTCGCGCTCGACGTCCAAATGAATCATCTCCTCGGCCATGAGGTGATCCATCGCGTCCACGTGTAGTCGCTTGTTCCCAATGTTACTCAGCCCGATCATCGATCCTCTCTTCGTCACGTTTCTCTTGTCCTTGATAGTCGAGCCTAGTAGCCGATATGTTGGCGCACTGTTAATCGTTTCCGGTTCTGAGGAGATCGACAACGTGGTAGCGGGACTGACGGATCGCAGACTGGCCGTTGGACTCGGAGTATGCCAGCCGTCGCTGCAATTGCTGCTGTCGTAGACGAGATTCTGCGGTACGGTGAGGGTACTGACGGGTGGCAGGCCGACGGCGGTCTTACTCGTCGTCTTTGCGTAATTCAGGTCCAGGTACGCGCAAGCAGGCACGAGCGGCTCGTCCTCACGCGGCGGGAACATATATCCGTAGCGAAACATCTCCTGCAGTTCCATAGCAGGATCTGCGCGTTGGATCGATGCACACGACGACTCCACGTAGACAGCGAAGAATAAGCTTTCTTTTCGCCTCGATTAAAAAAAAAACCTCCCTTTCACTGAAACTTCGCACTTCTTTCAACGGGATGGAGAACGAAGATACCGCCTCCTCTTAACTGGATCGCGATTGGGTCGAACGAGATATTAAAGAGCACGATGATACTAAAATCGACGACAGTGGAATAGGATGAACCCGGATGACTTTCTCGCGCTTCGATCGATTCTCGTCTAGTCGAGCCACGGGGTAGTTCTGAAGTCGGGTGGACCGGAGCCGGGATATTTATGCGTTCGCGGAGCGAGGCACCCTCGCGTAGCACGTGCCGGGCCACCAATCGTTATCGAGCTCGATTCCCCACTTTGCGATTGGTACCGGGGCCCCGGACCCGACTGGACTGGGATACGCGAGCTGGGGCCGCAACAGGTGGCCCGGCGCCTCCGTCGTACACGCACGATCTTCTCGCACATGGAGCCGCATAACCATTAAAGTCATAGCGCACAAAAAGATGTGAGCAGAGGAACTTGAGTAGTGAACGAACAAATCGCGGTCAAGCATTCTCGAAAATGAATTGAGCTAGGTCGTAGTTGGATTGACTTGCTGAAGTTCTACTTCTTTCTTTTTTTTTTTATCACACAGAATAGAATTTTCGTTTAAAGTTTTTTTGCAATGTGCACAAAAAAATGCAATTAAGAATTATAATGGCGATAACGAGTACCCTCTTTTGTAACAACTTACTGTCTATTGCACACTATCTGCTACCAAGACACTTCCTCATTTTACGTTCTTGCGTCGTTTTACGTAAAACGCGATACCGGAAAATTACTTTTAACATGTGCACAGGGGAGAATATATGCACCTCGTGGTCCGATACAACAGACCCTCGTGGCAGGTGGAAAGTATTATATTAAGTATTGTAATTGGAACACCTTATTTTATATAACTATCCAACAATATATAATTTATCAATGTAAGAGATGTCATAAAAATGAGTTTTTTTATGATATCTCTTACATTGGTAAATTTTTTGTCATTTTTTTAACGTCATGTACATTACATGCGAAAACAATCTCAAAGATTCATTGAATGAAAGCATTAAACATGAAAGATTTCTGATATCGTATTGCACAAATCTCAGAGTTGAAAATATTATCTTCTTAAAAAAGCTTAATGTTTTTATCTTTATTAATTGTGGCAAAGTGCAAGTTTATATAAAAATTCATTCATTATTATATACTCAGAAAAAAGACATAGTGATAACTATACAATTTTTTTATATGAAAAATTAATGTACATATACATAGTTAAATAAGGCATTTTATAATTTCTGAAATTATATACATTAATTCTATATGTAAAACTTGTACAATTATAACCTTTAGTTGCCATTTGCATAATTAAAATAACTATAATAACATAATTGTCTCTAAAAATGACAATTTTGTCCCTATAAATTATAGCTAAATTATGGTAATTGCATTTTTTCTCTCAATGTATAAATTAAGTTCAGGTTGTATATTCCGTGGATAATATCTTATAGAGCTGATTGCTTGCACTGGTAAAATTTAGTCTAAGGAACAGTTGTATTATAAAAACATTTAGTCTTTAAATATGATCTAAAGAAAGATCAATTTAAAACTTTCCAAAATGCATTAACTCCGTTCGAGTGTCATGTAAATCGAGAGATCGGCAGGCTCGGGTCACTCGCTTTTCCGAGATAAAAACGGGGATCGTGTCTGCACAAAAGGGTGCAAATACTTTAAGGGCGTAAGGTCCAGTTACATCTTTACTCGCTCAATTAGCGAAAACAGGTAGGATAAGGTTTGCGGCGACCACGACACGGTGGTCCGTAGCAACCCGATCTCTGTCATTCCTCGTTCCGAGCGTGCAGCCGTCTTGGATTTCGGAGATCGTCTCACAGCCGCCCGAAAATTCTTCCTAAGTAGTCGGAACGATAATCCTCTACTTAAAAACCTTCCGTATCTTTTCGGTAAGAACACTCCCGTGCAAAATGCGAACGCGCACGACTCCGCGGCACAACGCGCGATTTCGTCTCGAGTGTCCCAAGTATGGCAAAGTTTCCTTAAAAAAATGCGAGAACTTGTGAGATAGAAAAAATAAATAGAAAACGTAAAAGAAAGATATTCTTGATTTTCGTGACTCATTTCCTAAAATTATTAGAAATCTTAGAAATATAGAAAAGTTTGGGAAATTAAAAATATATATATTTGTATTATTTTTTGAAAATTTGGAAAATTTGGTTAATTTTAGATATAATTTGTAGATATAGAATTTTTAGATACAATTAGAATTTTATATAAATCTCTTTATATAAGTCTCTTTGCTTGTATTAATACCTTATCAGTTTTCATAAATTTCGATTTTCGCATTAAAATCTTCGAACTTGAAATTTTATTAGAGAAATTGTAATAAAAAAATTTTAATAATAAATGAAATTCACTTGATGGGTGTTTGTATAATAAAAGTTTTATTATACAAACACTTGCCGGTTCAAATCATTAGCCCTAAATAAAACACTGAATGCACGTTTCATTATATTTAAAAAAATTACAAAGTATTTCATAAATTATCAACAATACTTAAAGACCCCCTCATTAGATCATTCCAAGGTAATATATTATAACGTCCTCTGGATTTTTACTCTGGGAGTCAAAACAATTTTTTTCTCGCGGATAGTTACATAGACATTGGCCCCAGGTGCTATAAGATTTTTCTTGCATCACGTTTCCCGTCAATTTCCAATATCCCGCGCGAGATATTCTCGCTTTTTTTCCGTTCATCAGGCGCAATTTAAAAATTGATCGCTTTCATCTATTATCATCTCGTTCCACGGATGGAATTGTGGCGGAACTAATAATTAGGACGGCGCAGCGTAAGTCTGGCCTACCTGCCTCTCTGCCCTT